AAAAAAAAAAAATATTTTAGTCTATTTGTGTCAATGTTTGATATTAATGATCAGATCTGTAATATGTATCTAATTAAACACAACACTGTAACAACTAACATATAACAATACTCCACGGGTAAGTTTCATCTTAAACTCTTCCTTAAGCAGCGTAGTACAGAGTTGCTTCTAGCGGCAGTATGTGTCAAGCAAAATATTTGTTTTCTTCTCTCTCATTAAGCAGTTAAGCAATACAACTTATATAAAAGGTTAGTAGCCAAGCCAGACCACCACCGTCCTTGGAGTCTGTAGGTTCAGCTAAGCCTCGAATGGTTCCTAATGCTGCACTTAGTTCACAAACGTAAGGAACAGAAACCTGGCTGCGGCACCTAGGTTCTACCAGGTCTGGCCTGGCATCCGTTCTGAGCCCGATTGGCCAGAATCAGGCAATTCTGCCTCAGCCTCCTGAGTAGCTGAGACTACAGGCGCCCGCCACCAAACCCAGCTAATTTTTGTATTTTTAGTAGAGACAGGGTTTCACCATATTAGCCTGGTTGGTCTCGACCTCCTGACCTTGTGATTCACCTCGGCCTCCCAAAGTTCTGGGATTACAGACGTGAGCCACTGCACCCAGCCCCAGGTTGTTGTTCTTAAGCAAGTAAACTAGTTATTCCAGGGATGGCTACAGGAGATGTTGAAGTTAAAAATACTAGGTGAGTGGCAAGCAAAACTGGATTAAAGTGTACCTTAAATTATTCTTACGGAAATTTTAAATTATTATTACAGAACAATAAAATAAAATTTAATAAAAATTAAATAAAATTAATAACAATTAAGTTATTCTTATGGAAATATTGATGCAATCAGTGATTTGAAGAAAACAGTGCAGTGCCTATATTGCAGAAGGTGTAACAAATCTAGGTCTAGTGAGAATTTGGAGAAAAGTTGGAGATTCTATATAATTCTAAGTCTCCTCTTTTTCCTGTAGTCAGTAAGTATTTCTGTGTCCAGGGGACAAGATCTCCTGCTGGGAGACAGTGTTGTCATTTAGTCAAATGGTCACCTTGTAAGGTGCGATCTTTCTATCATTGCTAAGGTTGGTTGATTAAAGTAAGAATAGGAGGTTGTTCTTATAAAATCTTTCTTTTTTTTTTTTTTCTTGGAGATGGAGTCTTTCTCTGTCACCCAGGCTGGAGTGTGGTGGTATGATCTCAGCTCACTGCAGCCTCCACCTCCCAGGTTCAAGCAGTTCTCCTGCCTCAGCCTCCGAAGTAGCTGGGACCACAGGTGCACACCACCATGCCTAGCTAATTTTTGTATTTTTAGTAGAAACAGGGTTTCGCCATATTGACCAGGCTGGTCTTGAGCTCCTGACCTTGTGATTCACCACCTCGGCCTCTCAAAGTGCTGGGATTACAGGTGTGAGCCACCGTCCCTGGCCTAATTTTGTATTTTTAGTAGAGACGGGGTTTCTGCATGTTGGTCAGGCTGGTTTCAAACTCCCGATCTTAGGTGATATGCCCGCCTCGGGCTCCCAAAGTGCTCGGATTACAGATGTGAGCCACCGCACCCGGCCATATGTGAACTTCTTACAGATTGAGTATAGGTCCCCAGTACCACCAATCTCACCCATGCTCCTGTAAACATATGTGCAATGTTTCAGAACTCAGTCTCCTTTGAGGACGTGGCTGTGAACTTCACCCTGGAGGAGTGGGCTTTGCTGGATTCTTCACAGAAAAAGCTCTACAAAGATGTGATGCGGGAGACCTTCAAGAACCTTGTCTGTCTAGGTAAAGTTATCAACATTTCTCTCCTTAGTTAGACACAGAACGCAGAACAAGTGTTCCTTGCTCCACAGCTGTGTTCCAAGATCTGAAATGTGGAAAGGGAATCCTTCGGTGATTGAATCAGACAGAGTCACAACTCATCAGGAAATTAGACTGTAACAATTTTCTGTAATTTCTAATAGTTTATAATGATGTTTCTGGGTATGCATTTTAGGAAAAAGGTGGGAAGACCAGGATGTTGAAGATGACCACAGAAACCTGGGGAGAAATCGAAGGTGAGTTGCAGCCACAGAAGAGTAGTGGCCTGTGGGGGAATTTCACAAGAAAGCAAGCACAACAATAAGCACAGCTTCAAATATACTTATTCCTAGAAAATTTTCACTGAAAATGTTTTCTTGAAAACATCATAGATGTTCGGGATGTGAAAAATAAATCACTTTGAAACAGAATTTAGAAACCCCTTCTGGCCGGGCGCGGTGGCTCAAGCCTGTAATCCCAGCACTTTAGGAGGCCGAGGCGGGTGAATCACGAGGTCAAGAGATCGAGACCATCCTGGTCAACATGGTGAAACCCCGTCTCTACTAAAAATACAAAACATTAGCTGGGCATGGTGGTGCGTGCCTGTAATCCCAGCT